TGCAATGCTCACACAGCATGCACGGGGGGGGGGGGGGGTAGCTTTGTAGCTGATGGTCCGTGCCGGAACCGGTTTATCTGATTGGCTCTCTGCTGACAACCTCAAAATATACTCCTACTAATTATATAGTTTTTTCGGGGAGAGGGTACCCGACATTGCAGTGTTCGTTTGAGCGCGCGCCAGTCGGTGTGCGCGCGTGCGTCCGCACTGCCGTTGCGAGAGGAGAGGAGAGGAGAGTTGCGGCGGTGCCGTGGAAAGCGGGGGGGCACAGCGGGTGTATAAATACTCTTACCAACAACACACGATTTTGGAAACGATTTATTTACTTGTATATGGTATTATTGTTTTTCGGTTTCAATTTTTTTCCTCGTTTTGTCGGCGACCAAAACGCGTATACCGGCGCCTCTTTCAGCCTAAGCAACAGCAGCGATAATCAAGGCAGCAGCAGAATCAACCACCACAACCACCACCACACAACAAACAACAATCCCGAAGCAAGCACTACGCCTACGACAGCCACCGCGACGACAACAACGCAACACATAACACAACAACAACAACAACAACAACAACAAACGACAACAGCAGTCCCTTAACTGCCACAACAAACAAAAGCGAGCGAGCTTGAACCGCTCGACGCTTACCTCGCACTTGCGCCAGATCGCTACAGCCCGTTGAAGCAGCTTGTAGGACGACAGGAACACCAACACGCCCGCGGGGATGTGCTTCGCCAAGGCCACCACCGTGCGTCCGATCTCCTCCACGAATTCGTCGTTGTCCGTGCAGACTTTCTTGCACCTGATGGCGGAACGACCCGGCCCGTCCCGGCGCCGCCGGAAGAAGGGGATCGCGAATATGGGATTTCAGGTGTTGGATCGTAAGCGTTTGTTGCTGGCGGTTATTGCGGCTGCCGTCGTTGGCGCTGTCACACAAAACATCGTTTATGGTGTACACGCCACATTTTTTTACTGCGTGCATGGATGCTCTCAACCGCGTAGCAGCGGCGCAAACAATGCACCGGTTGTAATTAGGCACTGCCACAACCCCGAAAACCTTGATTACTCTGCAACAAAGGCATTGGCGAACAAAAAAGGCGGCGCGCCAACTCGTGCCGTTTGAGTGCGGCATGCTCTTCGTCGTGGAGTAATCAACTTCAAAAACCGGTCGAGGGGGGGGGGTGATATCTTCCGTCATGTCACGTACGGTAACTTGCATCGTCACAGGTCAGCCCAAGGCATGCACTGGCGGTGGTGTTTCTAACGATGGTCTGTCCACAACTTCCGCCAATCTATAAGACCAAAGAGCTGGCTTAATTCTCTTCCTACCAAGCAATAACCGTGATGTTGAGTAACTGTCGATTGATGACGTATATCCTACCGAGTGTTAATAGAAGTGTCGCACTCACATCAAAGTTTTGTTGCGGGGGGAATGGCCCACCGGGATGACCCGCAGCTGTCGTTCAGGGTTGATGACGTGGTTCGCTTCCAGCGCCTGTTTCGTTCCGTCGGGGTTTTGTTGCTTTCGCTGTTGTTCTTGTCGTCATTTTGCTTTTAAATTTACTGTTGTCGCTCTCGCTATTGTTATTGTCTTCAGTTTGCTATTAAATCTTCTTCTTTCTGTCACTCCTCGGTATCGTTTTTGTTGTCATTTTGCTATTAACCGTTGTTGTCTCGTTGGTGTTGCTGTTCTTCTTGCTGTTGGTGGTGATGGTGGCGGTGCTATGGTTATTGTTGCTGCTTTGTGCACCGGTCGCGAGCGAGTACAGGCAGGGGCAGAACGACCATGCTTTACGGTGTCGTTGTCAAGAAACTTCCATGGCACAGCATATACGTAGACCGAAAAAAAAAAGAAGGAACGCTTGTTTGTTTGCGAAGAAAAGCGTCCAAAACAAATGCAAAAAAAAATGTACGCGAAGAAGAACGTTTTTCGTTCCTGTTGCCCTCCCCTCCCCCCCTCCAGTGTTTGCCATCGGGGTTGGGTTTTCGTCGCTTGGCAACGACGTTGTAGAACAAGCCGCCGCCCCCGGTGTGTTGCCATCGGGGTTGGGTTTTCGTCGCTTGGCAGCGATGTTGTAAAACAAGCCGATCACTTCGTGAGCTCGACAACCAGGTTACCGCTTCGTTTATTTTTTGCCTTTTTTTGGGGGGGGGGGTAACCATGAATGGTGGTCGAGTAGATGATGTTGTGCGGGGTCGAGAACCCTCAATCCGCGCAAAGGGGATAATCGCACTACGTTGTGTTAAATTGGTCAAGCGCTCTCGAGGCATTTACAAAGTGCTTATAACTGTCTATGGCAGTGATAGCACCAGAAAATAACTTAAGTCATACGCGGCTGTCATCCGAACGCAAGGAAGTAAGCACAAGATGCCCAACACCCATATGCATAGCAGGATGCAGCGCACCCTTCATGCGACTCGCCGAATACCTCACGGCGCTTCGCGCTTGGTGATGTGAGAGCCTGGTCCGGTGGGAACCCGGCGTGCTCCGTCCCGGCTTTGTAGGGATGCGAGGTCAATGGTCTAGCGACTACGGCATGCACGACTATAAGGACCCCCCCCCCCCCGTGTTCTCTCGCCCTGCGTTAGTTTTCTGCCTTCACCTCCTGTTCCCCATGCATACCTGTTGAGGGAAGGGCAGAAGCCTTTCGCCGAAAGACCTGCCAAGCTCAGCCCTTAGAGAGTGGAGAGGACTGAGCGTGCCGCTCGTGAGGATGACGGAGTGGGTCTGTACCAAAATGAGGCGTAAACGACGGCGGCGGGGGGGGGGGGGGGGGGGGCCCCCTTTTTAAACCCAGGCGGGGAGTCCTAAACCCAGGGCCCCCCCCCCCCCCCTGGTGGGGAAAAAAG